TCCAGGTGGTTTTACATTTTTTCTCACTGAAATTTCACAATATACTTATAGTGAAATACCTACTTACAGTAGATATTTCTACTAATAGATATTTTTACTTATAATATTTCTACTGGTATGAAGGTTGCCTTCCCCCACTCTCCACCCCAACAAATGAAATGGACTCAGAAGTGTAGGGGGAGAAAGAAAGGAAATTAGGAAGTGAGATTTTCAGCAGGGCAAAATGTTGCAGAGGATAAACAGGACAAGAAATGTGAAAAAAAGAAATGATTGCTTCACACGTTTATCTATCAGTATTTAACCAAAATTGAATCATATTAAATTTGACAATTGAATTTTTATTACTTGCTTTGATACCTCATATGCAAAAGAGAAAATCAATAACACAACAATGAAACCATCAAGTATGCAGTTGGGAAGCAGAACCTAGTGCATTGTTGCTTTGTCAGCATTAATAATGCTTGCAAATAACACGAAAAGGAGGGAAAGCGTTGGTTAAATGTACTGTAAGTGTCTTAGAGCAGGGGTCCCCAACCTCTGGAATGTAATGCCTGATGATCAAAGGTGGAGCTGATGTAATAATAATAGAAACAAACTGCACAGTAAATGTAATGTGCTTGAATCATCCAGAAACCATCCTTCCCTCTCTCTCCTCCACCGGCCCCACCCCACCGCACCCCTACCCCCGGCCCCCATTCACGGCAAAATTGTCTTCCACGGAACCGGTCCCTGGTTCAAAATGGTTAGGGACCACTGACTTAGAATAGTTGTCTGTAGTCTTTTTCTCTCTCTCTTAAACTTCTTAGATGAAAGAGAGCTGAATTGCTGTGGACCAAAATCTCCTGTTAGGAAAACAAACTATAAGAATGAAATTATGATATCGGCCCTTGGAATTGACAAATGACAGGAAGACATTTTATCGAGAGCAAAGAACTGTAAAGAATCATGCTTGTAAAATCTTTTATTTGATCATATTTTAAAATGTAATACAGAATTTATAAGCTGGAAAACTTAATAGCAAGGAGAAACTACGCTGGACCACTTGGCAAAACTAAGGGATAACACTCCTTTGAAATAAAAGTTCAGTTTTTTTTAAACCCCACTGATTGTGATTAAAAATGTCAATTATATTTCAATTGCAGAAAGTGGAAAAGCTGAAGAGGTGTTGAGCTCTTCACCATGTCAGGAGAGCGACCACAGAAGAAAGGGGGAGAAAGGAGCTCTTCACCTACGAGGGACACAAAAAATAAGGTTAAATTTTCTCAATCTGCTTTTTAATTTTTAATAAAGATTTAATTTTAGAATCATTTTAGATTTATAGAAAAGTTGCAAAGAGAGTTCCCATATAACTGCACCAGTTTCCCTACTGGCTAGCATCTTACTATGGTAGGTGTATCACAACTAATGAACCAATGTTGATAGATTATTAATCAAAGACTGTCCTTTATTCAGATTGCTCAGTTTTTACATAATTTCCCTGTGCTGTTCCAAGATCCCATTCAGATAGCATATTACCTCTCCTCATTAAGTTTCCTTAAGCTCCTCTAAACTGTGAGAGCACATTTCTTGTTTCTGATGACCTTGACAGTTTTGAGGAGAATCTGCCTTAATTTTTGTATTTTGCAGAATGGGCCTCAGTTTTTTTGTCTGATGTTTTTATGATGGTTAGACTGGAGTTGTGGGGTGTCGAGAGAAGACCACAGAGGTAAAGTGCCAGTTTCATCACATCATTTTAGGGGTACATGCTATCAACAGGACACCACCGATGATGATAACTGGCTAAAGTAATTTTGTCCGGTTTTTCCACTTGGTTAGTCTTCCAAGGTTATTCCCGCCCCCCCCTTCCCCTTTTCATACTGTACACTTTGAAAGTCGCTATGCAAACCATACTTAAGAGGCGGGAATAATGCTTTCTTTCCTTACAGGAGGCATACCTTCATTAATTATGTAAAATTCTGTACTTCTGGGAAATCTGTCTATTCTCCCTTTTTAGTTGGTTCTTACACCTCTTTGCCTCAGTCTGTTTTTAACATAAATCACATTATTCTTTAATCTTTATCTTTTGATTCTCCCATTACAGATATTTGGATATGTAAAGTTTTATTGTCAATGAATAACGTAGGGTCCAAGCTGATGAGCAAGAGTCAGGACCACGAAGATATTTTACATCAAACCAGCTTAAAAATTCAGAGAGATAATTTCCTTGAAGTTAAAAAAAAAAAAGCTCAGATGCCAGGATTTATGTATGTGTGGATAGCTCTTAATATTTTATCCAAGTTGTCTCATGTGTTTATTTAAACAGTATTGAAATGATGTACGGCCACCTCTGCTTCTGACCTTTCCCTGTCCAGTCTGTGTACATACCATTACCAGGTTAATTTTTCTAAAACAGAACCCTACATATGTTACTCCTTTACTCACAACCTAAAATAATTCCCCTGCCTGAATGTTAAGTTGGTTTAGTCGTGTTCGACTCTTTGCGACCCTATGGACGGCAGCCCACCAGACTCCTCTGTCCATGGTATTCCCCGGGCAAGAATACTGGAGTGGGTTGCCATGCCCTCCTCCAGGGGATCTTCCTGACTCAGGGGCTGTGTCTCTTTATGTCTCCTGCGTTGGCAGGCAGATTCTTTATCACTAGGGCCACCTGGGAAGCCCCAAAATAACTCCCCAGTGCTTACCAAATAAAAGCCCAGATCATTAGCCTAGTATTCATGACACTGCAGTAAAATATTTCATTTCTCATTATTTCCCCCCTTATGTGTTCCTGCCAAGAGGAACCTAAACTCATAAATATGTTTTTTCCTCTTTTTGCCTCTGTAGTTTCAATGGGCTTCCCTGGAGGCTCAACTGGAAAGTATCCATCTGCAGTGCAGTAGCCGTAGGAGATGTAGGTTCAATCCCTGGGTTGGGAAGATCCCCTGGAGGAGAGCATGGCAGCCCACTCCAGTATTCTTGCCGGGGGAATCCCATGGACAGAGGAGCCTGGTGGGCTACGGTCTGTAGGGTCGCAAAGAATCAGACATGACAGAACGCCTTAGCAAAGCACAGCACATAGTTCTTCTCATGCTGCTGTTGAGAGGCAACACCCATTTCTATTCATCAAATTCCCATCTTGAGTCAGAAATCTTCTGTTGGTCCCATCTGCTCTATTTCTACCCTTGTCCACCCTGCGCTGTGCCCTGGGAGGCTGACCTGTGTACCCTAGCAACACCATCCTTGTCTCTGCCTTCCTGGTGGGTTCAGCCAACGGGAAGCCCAGAAGGACGTCAGAACGTGAGGTCAGGGCTCCTTCCCCGGTGACCCCTTCCTGCAGGGCTGCCCTGGGCTGCTCAGGTCCGCTCAGGGCAGCCATCATACAGCTTTCTCCTTTGGGATTCTAGTCACTGCTCCCTCCCCTCCTCCAGAGGCCCAGGGCTGGTCATGGTTCCCATCTCCTGTCTCCTCCCGCCCACCCTGCAGCTGGTTTCATTAAATCCTTCTCTTCCCACAGCTTGGGTGCCACATATTTCCTCTTGAGACCCTGATGCTCACTTCCTCTTCAGAATCAAAAACCACTTCTTTCAAGAAACTTTCACTTGTACATCTCACAGAATATCATCTTTTCTACCTCTGAGCATAAAATAGCACTTTGTCTAAAGGCATTGGTCAAAGTTTACATTTTATTAATGCTGTTTTTTGGAGTATAAAGTCTCAAAGGACAAGAGGACAAGAGGACCAACTTATTTCCTTTTGTTCCCCCAAATCCTAACAGTGTCCCACACGGTACTAGGTACTTGAGACATTATGTGCTACACACATGAATATTTAAAAATGTACCTTCCAAGAGTTGTTCGTTAACCTATACAGAGTTCTCATTCACTTGAGAAAGGAAGTGGAATTTTTGCAAAGAATGGGAAAATTAATGTTTTCTTCCCATACTCAAGATATGTTCTATAGAAGATCATCAAAATCATGTTGATTTCTACTTTACTACATCCTCAATAGCTAATTCTGAGAATCTTGGGAGAATGAGTTGAAAAATAACTTGATTGAATTTCAGATGATGACATTTTACATAACATTTCCAAATATTCTATATAGTATTCCACCTCTTTCAAAGTCTACCATCTCCAATAAGACTTTTCTGTTTAACCTCACCTCAAGTATTGATATGCTTTATGCCACAATCAATCCAAATTTATGTAACATAATTTTCACTTTCAGTACTACTTCGTAATTATTTACCAGTTTCTTTTGTCAGTTTGTTTGTATTAGGAGGGAGCATGTATTCACTACTTTTGTATCTCACCACACTCTTGTATTTATATATATATATATATTTTTATATATATATATATATATATATTTATTTATATATGCTTTTGCAAGTGGTGTTTCATTAATAGACCACTAGAATTCTGAGAAGTCTAGAAAAGTCATCCTTTATTTATAAAAATACAGTTTCAAAATATAGAGTTATGAACTGAATGTTTGTGTACCGCTCCCCAAACTGGGATATTGAAACCCCAAACCCCAATGTGATGGTATTAGGAGATGGAGCCTTTGGGAGTTAATAAGGTTTAGACGAGATCATGAAGGTGAGGTCCCCATGATGGGATTACTATCCTCATAAGAGGAAAGACCAAAACACTTTCTCTCTCTAGTCTTTGAAGACACAGCAAAAAGGTAGCCAACTGCAAGCTAAGAAGAGCACCCTCGCCAAGAAACTGAACTGGCTCATACCTTGATCTTGGACTTGCCACCATCTAGAACTGTGAGACATAAGTTCCTGATGTTTAACCTGTTCAGGCCGTTTTGTTATAGTATCTTGAACAAGCCAGTACAGCTATCTTCTTCATAAGAAGAAATCAAAATCTATCTTTCTATTAAGATAACATTTGAAAGGCTTAAAGAACTGCTATTATTGAATTATTGTTCAAAATAATACTTTGTTTACAGAGCCCTTAATTACACTTCTAAACATTCACAGATTCCGGGACTTACCATTGATTCCTTTTTCAGAAAGTGCGATTGGCTCTCCTTCTGTTGATGTCTCTCTTGATTTGGCAAAGAGAACACAGAGGACAGCAGAGGGTCACCATGTAGTCGTCACAAATGGATCCCTGTTGGAAAACAGAAAAGAAACAGAAATGTAAAAACCCACCTATGTGGAAACAAAGGCTCGTGGGTTTTCAGGACATTTTGAAGAGCAGCAGAAGGCGCTGATGCTTTGAATTTGAAGTTGGGATGGATACATTCAGGAAAGTGTTAGCTGATTTATCCACATAACTCCTGTCTCTGTTTATCACATCAAATGTTTTCCTGCACTTTGTAATGTTGAAAATAGAAGAAATCCAACCAGGGGCTTCCCTGGTGGTTCAGTGGTAAAGAATCCACCTGCCAATGCAGAAGACCCAGGTTGGATCCCTGGTCTGGGAAGATCCTACATGCTATGGAGCAACTAAGCCCCTGTTAGTTGCTATCGAGGCCACACTCTGGACCCCGGGAGCTGCAATTACTGAGTCCATGTGCCGCAACTACTGAAGTCCATGCTCTCTAGAGCTGGTGCCCTGCAACAAGAGAAGCTACTGCAGCGAGAAGCCCACACACTGCATAGCCCCCGTGTGCCGCAACTAGAGAAAAGCCTTCGCAGGAACAAAGACCCAACACAGCCAAAAAAAGTAAATACATAAAATTTAAAAAGGAAAAAGAGTCCATGAGGCAAAAGAGGTAAAAGATTAGAGAGAGGTGAAAGATTGGGGAAAAAAAGAAAAGATCCAACAAACTATCAAAGGAAGGTAAAACAAACAGTTTCAGGAAGTAAAATCTCAAAATTCTTTTCTCCTATACCCTTTCCCTGTATCAGGAAGCTCCTAGAGGGTGCCCCCACCAGAATGAAGAAGGAAACTAAGAAAGAAGAGGATGTGGGGTATAAGACACCAGAACCTAACATGCGGGACTGGTTAAAGGAATCCCCAGGTCAAGATGATGGAGATGGCAGGGCGGAAGCAGCGCATGAAGAATGGAAAACTGGTTCAAAGGGTAGCAGGTCACGGAGTGATTTCATCAAGAAGATGAAGATGCTAGAATGTCTGTCTGATGTTTAGGGAAGACATTTAGAAAACTGGAAAGAGTTTGGGATTGGATTACTTCTAAGTAAATGGAAAACCCCTAATGAAAAAGTCAAGAGTTATTAATAGTAGGAAAAACTAAGTTTAGTAGAAAAGGCAATCATTGTTCATTACACAATTCAACTAAGCTCTGAAGAGCAAATATAGGTGTCATAATGTAAATGCTAAATATGGACTTAGCCAAAATTATATATAATCATATTGGAGGGGGGCTTCTCTTGTGGCTCAGCTGGTAAAGAATCCACCTACAATGTGGGAGACCTGGGTTCGATCCCTGGATTGGGAAGGTCCCCTGGAGAAGGGAAATGCTACCTACTCCAATATTCTGGCCTAGAGAATTCCATGGACTGTATAGTATATGTGCTGCCAAAGCAAGCACTCCATGGACTGTATAGTCCATGGGGTCGCAAAGAATTGGACAAGACTGAGCAACTTTCACTTCACATATTGGAGGGAGTGGGGTAGGGGTAGGGTGCATGTCCATGGTGCAGAAGGGAGAGAAAACAGAACTAAATTCTCATCTTCCATGATGGGAGACCCATAGACAACGCCCCCAACTGAACAGTCAAAAGGTAGCAATACAAGTCTACAGTTTGGAGATATGGAGGTAAACACCTCTGGGAAAGAGGAAATGGGGAATAGAAATTTGGGGACTATTATTTTTCTCAAAAAACCTTGTAAATTAGATAATTTTAACAGCTATGAGCTTGCAGAGCTTTGTTAAATAACATTCAAGCCGCACTAGAAAATAGGGCTGGGGGAACTTAGTGAGCCAGAAATCTTCAGAAATTTTTGAAAAAAAAAAAAATGAAGCAGATGGTATTATGTTGATGGAGAAAAGTAAAACAGAACTCAGGAACATGAAACTTAACATAGTCAGGGGCACCGCATTAGATAAACCCCAAACCAAAACCTGTGAGATCAGAAAGGAGGAAGGAACAGGCTGGGGAATGAAAGATGGGAGGTTAACTGAAGCCAGCTTTTGTGGCTGGGCCAGCCCAGAACTGCCAGCTGTGGCCTTGCCTGGGACACAGTGCAGAGCAGTTTAACGGACAACCCTCATGTGGGCTTTGGGGCCCCAGCAAAGAAGAGGGGTGAGATAAGTGGGGAGCTATTCACCCATTGCATAAGAGGGCAGGCTCTCAAGGACTCACCACAAAAGCACTAGGAGAAATAGTAAGAAGTAAAGACATCTTAGCACAGTGGAGACATCTAAATCATTCCCACCGATGAGACAGGCAAATTGTTTTATGTTTCCTATTCATCAAATGTTAATTTTTCCTACCTTTTTTTTTTTTGGCTGAATAGACCTTTCCTGGTTCCTTTTGTTCCCTTTGCTGTGCTGTGCTTAGTCGCTCAGTCGTGTCCGACTCTTTGCGACCCCATGGACTGTAGCCTGCCAGTTTACTCTGTCCATGGGGATTCTCCAGGCAAGAATACTGGAGTGTGTTGCCATGCCCTCCTCCAGGGGATCTTCCCAGCCCAGGGATTGAACCCAGGTCTCCCGCATCGCAGACAGATTCTTTACCCTCTGAACCACTAGGGAAGCCCTTTGTTCCCTTTAGCAGTAATTTTTTTTTTTTAAGATTTTTTTTTTTGGATGGGGACCATTTTTAAAGCCCTTGTTGAATTTGTTACATTATTGCTTCATTGTTTCATGTTTTGTTTCTTTGGCCTTGAGACATGTGGGATCTTGGCTCCTTGAGCAGGGATCGAATGCCCCACCCTACATTGAAAAGTGAAGTCTTAACCACTGGACCATTAGCGAAGTCCCCTTTTAGTAGTTTCAGATGTTCCACACCAATTTTTATCCTTTTAGTGATGATCCTGAAATTTTTACCCACAACTTAATATTATATTTATCTTGAGATTCATCCAAATTGTGTGTATCAATAGTTCATTCCCTTTTATTGTTGAGTAGTATACTATTACATGGATAGATAGACCACAATTTGTTTATTCATTCACCTGCTGGGGGACATGTGGGTTGTTTTTTTAGTTTTTGGCTATTGCAAGCAAAACTACTCTAAATATTTGTGTACTAGTCTTGGTATGGATATATATTTTTGCAGGGTAGATATCTAGGAGCAGAATGGCTGGGCCAAAAAGTAGGTGTATGTTTAACTTTTTAAGAAACTATATTTTACACTCCAACCATCAGTGCATGAGGGTTTCGGTTCCTCCATATAAGCTAACACTTGGTGTGAGTTAGTCTGTTTATTTTAGCTGTCCCAATAGACATACGGCAGTACCTCACTATGGTTTTCATTTGCATTTCTCTAGTGACTGATGATGTTGAACATCTTCTTATGTACTTATTTGCCATTCAAATATTTTCTTTTTTTTTCTAATTTTTTTGGGGTTAAAAATACTTAGCATGAGATCTGCCTTCCTAACACATTTTAAGTGTACACAACAATTTGATGAATCCTCAAAAAATCATACTGAGTGAAAGACGCTGCATAAAATAGTACACTGTACGGTGAAAAGTGAAAGTCGTTCAGTCCTGTCCAACTCTTTACAGCCCCATGGACTATACAGTCCATGGAATTCTCCAGGCCAAGATACTGGAGAGGGTAGCTGTTTCCTCCTCCAGGGGATCTTCCTAACCCAGGGATTGATCCAAGTCTTCCGCATTGCAGGCAGATTCTTTACCAGCTGAGCCACCAGTAAAGCCCAAGAATACTGGAGTGGGTAGCTTATCCCTTCTTCAGCTGATCTTCCTGACCCAGGAATTGAACTGGAATCTCGTGCACTGTAGGCGGATTCTTTACCAGCTGAGCTACCAGGGAAGCCCACACACTATGTAGTTCTGTTATATAAAATGGTAGAAAATGAAAACTAATCTACAGTGATAGAAAGCATATTGGTGGTTACTTTGGGAAGACGGGGGTGGGGGGGAGAAGAAGGAAAGATTACAAAAGTATGTGAGTAGATAGTACCTTTCAGATTTTGAATGTGCATATCCTGTGATCTATCAATCAAATCTATTAACAGTATACTATCCTACAAAAATACCAGTGTGTACAAAATGCTGTGTACAACTGCAGCATTACTTAAGGTTTCATCAATAAGAAAGTGATTAAGTAAATAATCTATATGATGGAATACTATGCAGACATGAAAAAGAATCTATATTATGGACATAAAGGGGGTCTACCATATATTAAGTGGAAAAAAACAGGTTACAATATAGTATGAACTCATTTAAAACATAGAAAAAAAATAAAAGAGCCCTGCAAATCCCAAACCACATATGTCTAGCTCTACAGCTATAGTTGTAGCTGCATCTAATCTCTCTATCTATTTATATGCTTTAGAGGAGAACAAAAGCCCAAAGACTGAATGCTCAGTCATGTTTGACTCTTTGTGACCCCGTGGACTATATAGCCCACCAAGCTCCTCTGCCCATAGAATTTCCCAGGCAAGGTTACTAGAATGGGTTGCCATTTCCTACTCCAGGGGATATTCCCAATCCAGGGATCAAACTGGTGTCTCTTGTGTCTCCTGCATTGGCAGGCAGATTTTTTACCACTAAGAGGTAAAGTCTTATAGGAGGATGCACACCAAATTATTGATATTAATAAAATTTTTATCACTGAATAGTGGAATTGGGCATAAAGCAGTTAGATTTTCACTTTTTATTTTATATATCTCTGTGTTTGAATTTGTCATAAAATTACCTATACATGTAATATTTTTATGATTAAAAAACTAACAAATGTTTTAAGCAAAAAAATAGTTTCAATGGAGTAAAATTAGCTCCTTAAATATTCTGTTTATTTGTTCTGTGATGGTTAATTTTATATGTCAACTTGGCTAGGCCATAGTACCCACATATTCAGTCAAATGCTATTCTGGATGTTTCTTTGAGGGTAATATTTCAGATGAAATTAATGCTTAAATCAGTAAACTTAGAGCAACCATCCAGAATGTGGGTGGGCCTCACCTAATTTTTGAAGGCCTTAATAGAGAAAGAGCGATCTCCCTTGAACAAGAAGGAATTCTGCCAGCAGGCTGCCTTTGGACTCTGCAACTCTTCCCAGCCTGTCAGCCTGTCTTGCTTTTTGGACTTACCAGTCCCCAGAATGATATAAGGCAATTCCTTGAAATTTCTTGCTCTTTTTATATACCTATATTCATATCATCTCTATCTCCTTTCGGTTCTGTTTCTGGAGAGCACTAAAACCTTCTGCTACATAAATGAAGCTTATGGTGTAATGAAGGGGGCATCCCAGGTGGCGCTAGTGCTTAAGAACCGTCCTGCCAATGCAGGAAACATAAGAGACGCTGGTTCGAGCCTTGGGTCAGGAAGATCCCCTGGAGGAGGGCATGGCAACCCACTCCAGTATTCTTGTCTGGAGAATCCCATGGACAGAATCCCGTGGACAGAGCCCTTGGTGGGCTACAGTGCACTGGGCCACAGAGAGTCAGACGTGACTGAAGTGACTTAGCATGGTGTAATGGAATGTGCAGGCATGAAAAGTTAGAGTTGAGTAATGACTCCTTTTCGACTAGTGCATATCTTTGCCTGAGTTATTCTACCTTTTAAAACTTTTCTCATCTGTAAAATGTGGTAGATCTACTTACTTTACAGAGATGGTGCGAGGTTTTCGTGATGTAACATGTAATGTACTTGGGGCATAGTACGGGCATGGCTCTGAACAATCCTCTTCCATTGTATGACATACATTGCAAATATGAGAGTTGTTTGTTTTCTATGGTTTTCACAGAGATGTGGAAGGAGGTCATATAACCAGAGGATCTATTGCTACAATAATAGAATGCACATGCCAGGTTGTACATGCCAGGAAACTCCTACCAACCAAATTTAGTTGATGCCTGTGGGCATGTCCTCCTCCAGGGGATCTTTCCCACCCAGGGATTGAACCCATGTCTCTTACGTCTCCTGCATCTGCCTCTTTCTTTACCACTAGCGCCACCTGGGAAGCCCCAATTCAGTTGACAGATACCATCAAACGGCCTCCACGTTTATCACAATTATTTTGAATGTGGGTGAATATTCGAATGATACAATATTGTAAAAGATTCACCGGAATGCCGTATCGAGTCCTGTAGAGGGTCCTCATTGCGACAGTTGATCCGCACAGACAGCATTCATTCATGTCAGCTGCAACTTGACACGCAAGACACGTGAAGCAAAATGTGCCACAGAGACCTGGATGTGTGAAAACAGAGGTATGAATTACTGCATTCTGCCCTCCACCATGGTTGAGAGTTAGGGTGTGCTCATGGATGGCAGTTCCAAGCCCTGGGGCCTTTCTCACATAGTCGGCTGCCAAGGCCCTCCTCACTGCTCCTGTTCAACATCACATCAGCTCCCCCCCCACCCCCCCAGTACTGCCTTCTTCCATGTACTGGATGACTCACTGAAACCTGGCCCCATTCCAGAGGTGATCCTCACTACCCACAATGCCTCCGTCTGAAGTCCAGGAGTGAGGTCAAATAATGTGAAAAGTTCTCCAACAGGAACCTACTCAAGAAGCGAGGTGTCACTCACAGAAACGGGGCCTCCAGTGCTCTGGGAAGATGCTGCTGTTTGATCTGAATATGGAATGATGACTAGGAATTTTATAGATTAAGGAAAGGGGAAAGAGCCTCTTTAGATAACTTGGTTTGTCTTAGCAATGGCTGGATTCGCATAACGTGGCTAGAACCAGGGATGGGGGAAGAATGGGGATGAAGCTGGATCCAAGGCAGGGTGGAGACTGGACGATTTGGAAGTATGAGTGTTCAGAGGGGGTCACAGAAATCATGAAGCACTTCCGAAATATTTTAAGAAGGGAGAATGATTTGGTCAGATCTATGATTTAAGAAATTCTATGTGAAGGTTTTAAGCTCATATTAGAACTTGTAACTCACTTATTCAAGTAACAATACTAGGGTTTGGAGGATTAGAATATTCCTCTTTAGAAGGTTTTATTGTGTGGTTTCATGATCACTATGATTTGCAGCTGTTGAACTAATGTCCTGAGAGGTGCAAGTGACCAGCCCGGCTCATGCAGCAGGACAAGGAGAGCAAATCAACAAGTTCAGTGGCTCCATGTCCCAGGTGATTCTTTCCCTCTATGCTTTTCAATGTAATTATCAACTCCATTCCAAATTTTAATTCCTCTGCCAAGTTAAAGGTTAATAGGTTTTCCTTCCCTGTCTCAGAACACTGGGTAGATTTGAAACAGGTGAAAGAAAGGAACAAATGAACAAAAAAACCTCTGAGTAAAATTTGTTTTATTTTTTATTTTGTAGGCAGGTTTGTTTGTTTCTTGCTTGGTGTTGAGAACTAAGCATTTGGCCTCTTTGACATGCACAACTTACCCTGAACTTTTCTTCTCTCGGGTATACTTAGATCTCATAAAATGAAACAAAACGTAAAACAAAGCAGAGTTAGAGGTATTTTACTCACTGAGCAGTTAATTGCCTTCGGAATTCTTTATTCTTCTCTGTATAACAATCCTAAATGTATAAATTAAAATAATGCTTATGTGAGCTCATGCTGAAACCATGGATGAAAATGAACCCTTGTGTATGGGGCACAGTGTAGCTGTAGTGAGTTTAATTGATGTGTAACAAAAGCAGTCTTTTTTCTTTTTAATCAAGTTAAACTTTAAACATCTCTTCTAATATAATGTATGGTTTATTTATATTAGGCCAAGCCTGTTCATTATTCAAATCATTGCCTTTTTTTTTTTTTTTTTACAGTTATCTTAACTCCAGAACGTTTTTAGGAGTAAGACTATCCTTTGAAGGGTGAAGAAGAATGAACCTACAATCAGTACAGGATTTTTCTGTTAGCAAAGCATTGCCTGACATGCAGGGTATCTTGCAATGAGAGGAGAACTTTTATTACACCATAAGGGAGAAATGAAGGAAAGATACGAGTAAACTCGGGGAAACTGTGGAGGACAGAGGATCCTGGCATGCTACAGTCCATGGGTCACAAAGAGTTGTATACAACTTAGAGACTGGACAACAACAATGTTAAAATTCACTTCTGAGTCAGTTACAGGTTTCCCCAGCACTTACAAACACCGCAGTCGCTGAAACAATCACACATGCCCGTCTGCCAGTTGGAGTTTTGAGGTACTGGACCGCTTCCAACTCCAGGCTGAGTTACAATGACCACTGGAGCAGATGCAGCTTGCATTTTCGATGCAGGTTCTTAAGCGGCTGTGGTCTGAAAGGAAAAACCTGGTGTCAGTAGTCTGGAGATTGCTCTTGGAAGCCTGTTTTCAGGGACTCTGACTCACAGGCAAGTGAGGAAGGTTAGATCAAGTTGCTGACTGGTCTTTGAAGAACCTATTTCTACAGAGGCTCCTGGAGGAAGGGATTCACTGAATCGGTTAAAGGAACAGATGCCTCTCTTGGAGTTAGGGAATGAGACAGGCTTGTAAGTACTGTTTTAAACAGTTATCTGGTCTCTGCACAAGACAGGGAAACAGATGAGGAAACCTGGGTAAATGACATGTGTGTGCTCAGTCGTGTCTGACTCTTTGTGACCGCATAGACTGTAGCCCACCAGGCTCCTCTGTCCATGGGATTTCAAAGGCAAGAATACTGGAGTGGTTTGCCATTTCCTCCTCCAGGGGATCGTCCTGACCCAGGGATCAAAGCCTTGTTTCCTGCGCCTCCTGCACTGGCAGGTAGAGTCTTTACCACTGTGCCACCTGGGAAGCCATGCCAACTAAAAATTGTCACTCGTTATTTGCTGCCACAAGAATTAAGTCATACCACTCAGTTGCTGATTTCCAACATGCCCTGAAAGGAGTTCAGGGTGGAAATTAGGGATGAAGCACTCTGTGCTCTAGGGAACACTGGCAGAACAGACCTTCAGAGAGTTAGATATTTGGGGGACAAGATTTTATGAGCCCAGTTTCTCACATCTTCTCCTATCTAGAAAAGAACGAAAATCATTAATGGAGACAACTGCTCCATGTGACTTGCAGCAACGTTCTGCCAAAATGCATGCTAGATGGCACGTGTCCCGTCACTAAAATCATGTACATACTGACCTCCCCTCTGACCTCTTAGAGCAGTTCCTCAGAGCTATCTGAGAAGCTCTCAGGCTATAGACCTCATTTGCCCCAAATAAAACTTAACTCACAGCTGCCTGTTAACGAATCCAAGCTCAGTTTGCTCGAAGCACAACAGGCCAATAAATCCAAGAGATGAGATGTTGAGGCAAGGAATGCGACTTTATTCGGAAAACTGACTGACCGAGAGAATAGTCGACTAATATCATAAAATAACCATCTTGTCAGGGTCTGGATGCATTTCTTTTATAGAACAGAAGGGGAGGATTTACAGAACTAAAGAAAAAAGGCAAATATCTGACTCATGGAGTCAGCTTTTAGGAATTTATCCATGAGGGGTTGTAAACCCTTCTCTTTCAGCTTTACGTATAGGCAGTTTCTGGCCTAAGGCTCATTCTTACAGGTTGGGCCTTTACTGCCCTTGCAGGGATTCCTTTGTCTCATTAAGAGTTAAGAAGAGGTGGCAAGAATACACAGAAGAACTGTACAAAAAAGATCTTCATGACCCATATAACCACGATGGTGTGATCTAGAGCCAGACATCCTGGAATGTGAAGTCAAGTGGGCCTTAGGAAGCATCACTACGAACAAAGCTAATGGAGGTGATGGAATTCCAGTTGAGCTATTTCAAATCCTAAAAGATGATGCTGTGAAAGTGCTGCACTCAAGATGCCAGCAAATTTGGAAAACTCAGCAGTCGCCACAGGACTGGAAAAGGTCAGTTTTCATTCCAATCCCAAAGAAAGGCAATGCCAAAGAATGTCCAAACTACCATGCAATTGCACTCATCTCACATGCTAACAAAGTAGTGCTCAAAATTCTCCAAGCCAGGCTTCAGCAGTCTGTGAACCGTGAACTTTCAGATGTTCAAGCTGGATTTAGAAAAGGCAGAGGAACCAGAAATCAAATTGCCAACATCCGTGGGATCACTGAAAAAACACTAGAGTTCCAGAAAAACATTTACTTTTGCTTTATTGACTATGCCAAAACCTTTGACTGTGTGGATCACAACAAACTGTGGAAAATTCTTCAAGAGATGGGAATACCAGACCACCTGACCTGCCTCCTGAGAAATCTGTATGCAGGTCAAGAAGAAAAAAAAAAAAAAAGAGTTTACTGCCTATAGGATATGGTTGGGAATAGGACCTTGTCTCTGGGAATAGGTTGGCCTGTCTTTGTCAGAGTTAAGATAAAAGCCTGCTCGGGGCCTCCTAACCTGAGTATGGCCCCGGGGGAGCTCAGAAGATCTCTCCTAAGGACAGGGGTAGGACACTGAGGCACAACTAGAAAGGCAGGCAAAATCCACCACTGTTTAAATTGGCAAGGGAAATGCCCAGTAAAATAACAGTGCGAGGTTTTCCATCAACACGAGTCACAGTACAGCTTTTGGAGGAGAGAGGTCCAGTGTGAGAAATTAAGACAAAGTAAAGTGGCTCTGTACCAGTTAAGTAATCAATTTTCTTTTCTGCCATGGGAGTCAAGGAGTACCCAGGGATCCTTGATGGAGATTAGCATCTCATTGCGGGGAGCTGCCAAAATCCCCAGGGCCACCCCAGTCATCCAGCATCGCCATCTCAGGAGCCAAAGTCCCACTTCCCCTTCAGGACTGGGGGCAGTCCCTCTTTTGCTATCTGGGCATAGCCTGGGGTGGGGAGGTTCTTTCTGGCAGTCTTGGGCACAGTGGCCAGTTGACTTGCATTTATAGCATTTCCTCTTCTTGGTCTTATTTCCAGATGAATAGTTGAACTTTCTTGGACCCCCTGAGGTCACAAACCATGACTGACAGCAACAGCTATCAGTTTTGCACGAGCCCTAGCCTGTCTTTTCTCATGTTGGGGTCTCTCTTCCTCCTGAGCTTGGTCTTGATTATTTAATACCCCAAAGGCCACATTTAGGAGCTGGGGCATGGGCGTTTGTGGGTCAAGTTGTAATTTTTGGAGTTTCTGCCTAATATGAGGGGTGGACTGGCTAGGTGGGAATACTGTCAAGAGGAGGATGTGCTAGGTTTCCACCCTGCGAGATCAGAGCTTAGAAGGAGATCATCTAAAGTGTTGGGAGAGTCTTCTGGTTCTCCAGGTTTTAAATTACAGGAGCCACATAGGGTAGGATTTTGGTAAAGGACTGTGAA